CATTTTTAAAGAGTCTTTACTAAACTTTTTAAAACATGTATCTTTAAGCCAGATTGACAAAAACAAGGCAAAACATCTCCTCTGACAATTTCCAAGGATATGAACTATTGTGATAGTTGAAGTTAACACAAATCTCTGTACAGATGGAGCCAGGTGCAAGAGCCACATAGTTTACTGTTCCACAAAAAGTCAGTTAGAATCACTATACAACCAGCAAAAATTTTCTAGACTTGTACCCACAATGCTTTAAAAATTTCCTATTTTTGGTATTTACTATGCTTTTTTCTTTATATGCTAGGCTTAATTCTTTCATATTCTACAAATTATACTAATAATATCTTCTTAAGTTTTGAAGTGACCTTTTTTACACTGCAACTGTTATGTTCACAAAGTTTTGCATACTTGTTTTAGAAATAAAAATGTTTTTCTAGAACTTTAATATATTATAAAAGCTACAATTATAAATACTTTAGTACCACTAATAAAGTTCTGATAATAGCAAACACAAACCATTACTTGAGTTGTGCCTGTCAGTCATCACTCACAGCATCTTATAAAGAGCAAGCTATTATTAGTCCATCTTACAGACTGGAAAACAGACTCCTCCAGTATCATTCTGCCTCATGGTAATCCGATAAAATGTGATTGGGGAGGAGATAATCTAATTCCCCCTTATGTTCATGCCACTTTACAATTATTCAAGAGTATTAAGAATTTAACAGGTACTTACTTTTTTTGTAAAAGCCTCAAACTTTTAAAAGTATGAGTATATGTACCAAGAGAATAACTGCACTGTAAGAAAGAAGTGTGTACACTTCAGCCCTTCAGCAGCATGTACTGCTGCTGTTCACTTCACATGTAACATTTTATTGTTAAGTCCTGTTTTAGAGACTACCACACAAAGCTTACTATTTCAGTGATACTCTACTAAAAAAGGAAATAGTTACTATGCACATATTTGCTTTATTATATGTCACCGCCCACCCCCCAAAAAAAACTCTACTGGTTAAGTTTTTTAGTACTGTATTATCTTCAATATAGTATGAGAATCTCTGGCACAAAAACAAAATTTTTTATCTATTTCTTTCCTAAAACTTGTCTCCAAGGTTTTATATCTTAAATTTCACATTAACCAGCATACTCTAAATAAATACATACTTAAGATATATACTTGAGTAAACCTTATTCGTGGTTTCTCTTCACCTCTGAATTTAAGACCACCAATAATTTATGAAAATTAGTATGTAAACCATGATGGAAAACATACTAATTATAAAACGGTAGTCTACATTGTGGTTTGTGTCTCAAAAATCTTCATCTTTGCAAGGAGAAACGATAAAACCACCTAAGAATGGCACTATGAAAAGCATTTATACTATTTTCTATTCTGCAAGATTTCCGTAATCTACTTTTCTGTGTTTTGGATAATCGAATTCCAAAATCAAAGAATTAATCTTAAAGACTACTGGAGCTCCATAGAAATTCCATGATTTGTTCACCGTAATCTGCAGGCCAACAGTTGGCAGAGCTAAAATCACAAGCTGTAAGTCCTGACTCCCAGACCCTTCACTTAAATAGAAAGATTTCTAATGAAGTGGCTCATTTTGAAAAAAACAAATACCACTACAAAAAAATTTAATATCATTTTAACAGATTAGCAAAACATGAAGTTTTGGAGAAAAAAAAAAAGCCTTATAACCAAGAAATGTAATCAGAATCCTTAATCTGGTAAAAATGCTCAAAAACCCTGCCCCAGACTCTCAAAAATATGCGATCATCACTAATTAAGGTGACAACTAGGAAGTCAAACTTAATAAGCAACTTGTTTCTCTATTCAAACTAATTAGTAAAGAAATGATAAACATTTCTCTTCGTCCAAAAATGAGTTTTTGTAAAGTTTGCCACCTACACATGGTTACATTTATAAAAATAAGAATTCCTATAAACACTTACAGTATCCCTTTTTGCCTTAAAATCAACCTGTTTTGAAAATACAAAATCTGATTAAACATATACCATAGAGCCAAAAAACCCTTTCACTTCCAATCAAATTCCACTCACTGGTAAAAATGTTTTAAATCATATGATACATGGTAATAATCACAATCATGTTTACCACATCTTTACCACATTTGAAATAAATGCACCTATTTCACTTTTTTTTAATCTGTACTTTTACAGTATAGCACAGAGAAGACAAGTAGTGACTCTATAGCATCTTACTATGCTGATGGACAGTGACTGCAGTAGGGTGTGGGGGGGGCTTGATAATATGAGTGAATGAAGTAACCACAATGTTGCTCAAGTGAAACCTGAGCATAAGACTGTATATCAATGATATCTTAATAAAAAAAAAAAGTCTGTGCTTTCAAAACTGCTCTAAAACTCTTGGTCAAAACTCAATCACTGAAATTTTTTCTGCAGGCTGATTATTCTTATCTATGCCTATTTTTAAACTCACAAGGAGAAATACGTAGTATTTTATATATTATATACACATGCTATGTAGCTGTATATTGAGGGTTTTTTTAGAGCTTTCAATCTGACACATCAATTCTTCCATGTAAAATACTACTCAATTGATCAGTTCTTGTGCAGCAACAAATATCCAGGTACATACAGGTAGACACTACAGAAACTACCACCAACAGCTGCTATTTTGGTTTCACTCACCAATGTCTTATTAAATTAAGACAATAGAGAATACTGTACACGAGATTTTACATGTGCTCACCTCAACAAAATTTAAAGATAATACTATTAAACAAAAACGTGCTGAGATATCTGGTGTTCCAAAATGTTTTTAAAGCCAACTAAATCTCAGCAAGGCAGACAAATGTTAGACCAGATACCCATACACCTAGACATACAATTTGACGGATAGGAAAACACCTTAAATGGTGCAATGCATTCAGTAGACAGAGTGAGCAATATGCTGAATGAATAAAACAAGAAAATGAGCCAGAGAACTCTGAATTCTAATGAGAATTCTTAACTGTTTTCTGTGTATGCCAGCATGACTGTTCTCATAAAAAGGTAAAAACACTCCAAGCAAGAAAAACAACGTTCATGCAAAATAGGTGGATTCTGATACATGTATGCACAGATTAAGACCACGTATTATGTTCTAAGTTCCTATATACTAGGAATATAAATTTATTTTATTAATATTTAAGAAATCTTTAAAAAAAATAGGTATCAACACAGGTACCCTTGCTTTTACCAGAGAAAAAATGATACTCCTTCAAGTATAAGATATTCCCATAATTTGGACAGGTATCACTAGCCGCTTCATTTTGAAAATGTAACATTACCAACAATTTCCAAGCTAAAAAAAAAAAAAGCAATCTTCAGTGACTTAGGGTTATGGCTTTTTACAAGATGCAAAGATGAGTTTTGTAAAGTCTGCCCGATTCTTAAAAACGGAGTACTATCATCTTTATGACAATCTTTCTCAAAACACACAAAAAAACTAAGATTTTGTCAAGTAGTTAAGACCTAAAAATTAAATATTGCAGTTACTGAATCCTGTAGTTAACTTCGAAGTTCATTTTTTCTACCCATTAGCGACTGAAACCAGCCCTAACAGCTACCGAAAGCAGTGTGGAAACCAACGCAGCCTTCCACCCATCAACTAAACCTAGCACGTCGCTCATTTCGGCAGCTGTGAGCCCAGAACAACTGAGCCCAACTCCGAAGAGGGGAGACGCAGAGCTGCCTGCAACAGCCGCTGAAACAAAGCCCCCAGATCGCGCCGTGCCCCCGACCCCGCCGGCCGAGCCCGGAAATGACCCTGGGCGGTCGGAGGCGGCCCGCGGCGGCCGGCAGCTCCCAGGCGGACACGCTCCGACTCGGCGACAGGCCGCCCTCGCAGCCCGGCACTGGGCCCGACGGACCGCCCGCCCGACACCCGACTCAGACCCCAGGTTCCAGTCTCCAGGTCAGCCGGGACGCGGCAACAGTCAGCGCCCGCCGGACCTCCAGGAGCGGCTGCGCCCGAGGCAGGGCGCCACGCGACGACCCACACGCCCGGGAAGCTCGGCCGCGACCGGGCCCCGCGCCCGAGGCCGCTATTGTGCGGCGGGGGCCGGGCCGGGGCGCGGGCCGGGCGCGCCCCCGCCGCCCGCGCCCCGCCGCGCGCGCCCCCGCCGCCCGGGCGCGCGCCGCCCCTCCTCCGCGGCCTGGCCTGCAGCGCTCGTGACGTATCTTTATTTCTAGCACATTAACAAAACATCGCCGATAAACCGTCGGCAGCCCCGCGGCCCCGGCCCAGGGACCCCCGCCACGGCGCCCGCGGCCCCGCGCCGGCCCCCCGACCCTCCCCGCGGCCGCCGGAGCTTTCACGTTCTGAGGCCGAGGTTTTGTCTCTGTAAAAAATTGCGGGAAATTCAATTTTTATCCGACTCGGGGAAAAGTTTCTTTGCTCCGCGACGCGAACGCCTCACCAGATTCTGGTAGGTGCGGGGATGCTCCTTCCCGGTCCAGTCGGTGCGGCGCGGCAGCAGCTGCGGGGAGAGGACGCCGTGAGCCCGGCCCGCCGCCGCCCGCCCGCCCCGCGCCCCGCGCCCCGCGCCCCGGCGGGACCCCGGCCCCGCGCCCGGCCCCGAGCCCAGGCGGCGGCGACGGCGCGGCGGCCCAGGGACGGCCGCGCCGCGGCGGGACGCGCCGGGCCGCCGCCGCCCTCACCTCCTTCTCGGCCACCTCGCGGATCAGCACCTGCAACAACAAAGCGGGGAGCGCTGAGCCCCGCGCGGCCGCGGCCCCCGCCCGCCCTCCCGCGCCCGCCGCCCGGCCCCCGCCGCCGTACCTGCGCTGCCTGCTGACAAGGCCCGTCCTCCAGGAACCGGGCGATGAGGAAGTAGAGCTCTGCGCGGGAGAGAGGGGCGGGAGACACCGGGCTCAGCGGCGGGCGCGGGGCCGCGGGCGGATCGCCGGTGCGGCGGCCCCGGCGCCCCGACTTACCCGATCGCAGCTCCGAGAGGCCTTTCCTCTCGCAGGACATGCTTGCGGGTCACTTGAGGGCCGCCGGCGGGGCGCCCCGCCGCCGAGGGGAAGGGGGACGGGGCCGCCGCCTGCCCGGGAGCTGTCACCGTGCTCACGAGCCGAGCCTCGGTTCCACCATTCAAGCAACGGCGGCGGAGGCGGAGGCGGCGGAGGAGGAAACAACAACTCCACAGCGACCACCGCCGCGCCGATCCCTCCGCCGCAGAAAGGAGTCCGCCGCCTCGGCGGCCTGGGCCCGCCCGCGGCCCCACTCCCCAGCGCAGAAAGGCGCCCCCGCCCCGGCGGCGGGACCCCCGCGCCCTCTGCCCCCGGCTGAGGCGGGTTTATTTATTTATTTCCGGTCGGAGACGATGTCGGAGCCTGGGCCTCCGGTTGGCTAAAGGCGCTTCTCTGAGGAGGCCGCTCGCTCACCGTTCGCGGGAGGGGGACGGCGTCGCGGAGGGATCCGACGCACACGGGCCGCAGCGCGCGCTCGTCCGCGGCGCTGGCTGCGCTGCGATGGAAGTTAGTTTCTGTGTGGAGACGTTAGGGAACAAACGAGGCCGGGCCGCCCGAGCGGGGATGCCGGGCTGCGGCTCGGGCTCGCGCGCGCACGCGCAGGTGCGTGCACGCGCCGGGGAGCGGGCCGCGCGGCGCCACTGGGCGGAGCGGCGGGGTCTGGCTCGGCCGCCGGGTGTGCGCGCCGCGCGGCCTTGTGTGCGACCCGAGCAGCGCCGCTGACTCGGTGGTGGCCGGAGGGCTTGGAGCCCGTGGTTCCCGGCGCCGGCCTCGCGCGCCCTTACGGCGCTCATTGTGCCGCCGAGCGCAGCCCGCAGCAGCGCTCGGGTCTCACTTCCCGGTGCGGAGGTTGCGGTGTCCGTGAGGACGCGGGCTCCTCGAGGCTGCCCGCGTTCCCGAGGACCCGAGCGGAGGCGAGGCGCCCATGCAGTCGGACTGCTCCGCGGCCCCAGGTTGGCGCGGAGGCGCCCCGGGAGCGCTACGAGAGGGCGCTCCGGCCGCTCGGGGTCAGGGCCGGGCGACAGGCGTCCGCGGGCCCCGCCGAGCCGACGGATGGCTTCCGACGGGGGGGTAAACCACCCCGTTTGCGGTGACCGCGGGGAGACTTCTCAAAAACGACGAAAGAGAAAATGGTCCTCGGGAAACTCGCATGAAATTAGCGGCGTGGGTGCTACAGTCCAGCCCGCGTTTTGCTGCGGACCCGGGTCCTTGTTTTTAGAAAACGACCGAGAGAAGTGGTGGAAACTATGGGAACGCCGTTTGTTGGGAGCCGGGGCGGCGAGCGGCGCGCCTCTCCAGATGTTAGCGCCCCGCAGGGAGGCTCCGGAGGGGGACCGTTTGGAGCTCGCGTTGTAAGGGGCGTCGGGATAGCCGTCCTTTGTTAGCATCGAGCAAAAGGTCATCCTTACAATTTCTGGACCAACAAGCACATGTCACGGACCCAGTCCCCAGGGCGTCGCGATTAGGGGTTAGGACCGGCGCGCCCCGCAGGCCTGCGCGGCCGCTCGGAATCGGCCCGTCCTGCAGACGCTGGAGCCGCCGCGTTCGTGAGCACGTCGGTTCCCTTCCGCACTGGAGGTAAACAGCTTGCTGCTTCTGCAGGGTTAGGTCTGGAAAGACAGAGTTTTTCCAGTTCTGTTTATTTCTGTGGTGCTATTTTTATCTTAACTTTTTATGAAGTGTTCTTCAAACGTTACATTTCACATTATCATGTTTCTCATAAGCAGATCTCAGAAACTAAAAAGTATACGTAGAATCCCGTGGTTTTGAAATGTTTGTATTCGTCTGATTCTTACTGATGGACCCTTTCAATGGAAAATAAACCAAACTATGCCATGGAATATAAAATTCCTCCGGGTAAAGTTTTCCATGTATGTCTTGTGAGTGTTACATAAACATGAACATATCTCGTGTGCTTTTCATTTAGAAGCCACAAAAACTTTCCCTAAAAACTTGTACTTTTGTCCTAAAAAAAAATTTTAAGGAAAATTTCCGTTCTAAGTTCCTGAATATCATGTTCCTGTCATTTTTACTAACCTTTGACAATGTTTATAGTTTCTTTTTCAAAGATCTGATTTGAAGAATTGTAACCCCGCCATTGAACTTATTTGTAAGTCTCAATCTGTTAGAAGAAAATACATCTTACCTGCTGAAAACTAAAACTTCTCTTAAGCCAAAAAACTATTTGCCTTTAATGGTAGAAATTGAATTGAATTTTACTAAGGCCTTCAAATGTAACAAACACTCCTTATAACATTTTAATTTATTTAAACATAAAATACATCTCTAGCATCATCAGTTAACTATGGGGTTAATTAAGTCAGTTATTGTGTGTAGGTACACAAAAAGTCTGTACGTATCAAACAGAAAATCTTACCTTGAAGTCCTTCATTTCAGTCCCCAAGGCAATGGCACTTGTCCTTTACTCAACCAACTCTTGCATATAAGGATAATAGTTGATCTGTATCCCTTTCTGTTTAATTTTTACATGACTTCAAAAATAAAACGTCAATTTAAAAAGATTTCCATGCTTTTATATAAGAAGGCTAACAAAAATAATACATTTGGAAGGCTGACTAATGTTTTTATATAATACAGTCTCTTTAGGAGAAGTACAAGCTTTTCTTGAAATGTGAGTTTCTGTGAAATTCACTCTTCACTTAGCATCACATGAAACAAGATAAACATTTAACAAGTTGGTCTTATTGTGATAAGCTAGTATTCTAATTAAGTAATCAAATGCTGCCATTCAAGTCCTTTTCTGGAACAAGACGGGATAGTATTTATAAATAAAAAGATTCCACCACTTATGAAATTTGGTTTATTTCCACTAATATGATGAAATGATATACAACTCAAAATAATCTCTGGAACTTTTTAAATTTTATATTAAATCTTGTTTTTAACTTGATGTTATGCTTTTTTAACACCAAAAGCTTTATCCTATTAAGTGTAGAAATGGAAACATAGAAGGCACTCTTCTTCAAAAACTCTTCTTTTTTCATACACGTCTGCCCTGACAAACTACAGCTGGCAAGAGAGACAACACACCACACTCCTCTGGTTTGCTCCCCAATAGATGTTTCTCTCCATGTCTTTCTGACTTTCAACACACACATTCTTCTTCCTTCACAAAGCTTAAATATATATTAAATTTGAAGCTTATAAGCAGATAAACTACTTGGCTGTTACAGAAAGAGATAACCAACTTTGGTGAGCCAATCCATTATTTAATGATTTACATTGTCTTATATTTTGCTGCAAAACATTTGTATTTAAATTAGAACACAGTTTCTCTTAATCTGTTACAGATTAGCGGGTTACCAACAATCGTATAATCTCTTGCTTATTTAAATGTTGCTGGTAAATCACCAGTTTTCTTCCTCCAAATTAAATGCTGCTGGTTGCAAAATTTTTTTTAATATAGTTTCTAGTATGCACAAGTAATACTGATCTTCATGGACTTATGTTTTTGTAACATCAATTCATGAGTTAACAGGGCAATTACAAAGATTAAAGGAGGAAAACACGTTTAGAACATACTCCCCCAAGATTTGGAGCAACACAGTGGATGAAGTAAAAGAGCTGTACCAGATGGGAGGGCACTCGAAGGAGGTGTCTGTAGGCATGTTCTCTCATATTCAGATGTCTGGTGGATGGAGAGTGGGCTGGACTGAACAGAGAACAGTAGAAAAGAGACACTCGATTCCGGAAGGGATGGAGGACCTTTGAAAGTTGCTAGTAGGGGTATATTCAATAGAGCGTACTATTATCAATGTGATTTTGAGATGGACTTGAAGATAGGAATTATGTAGTCACTTGCCTTTATATGTGCATGAATTCATAAACTTTGAGACCTCCAAAGAAGAAAAGTTATTTTATTCATGGAAAAGAAAAGGGAAAGGGTGGGTTACCTGACAACTTAGGAATCTTTACATAATAAAACACTCAGAACCAAGGACACCAAAGTAGACACTATTGATGAGGAAGGATAATGGTTATTCAAAAAAGATCTGACCACCAGACTGCCTACAAGTCTGACCTGAGACTCAAATATGGCAGACATATATGAAGGTAAGATCCACTCAAAGTTGAGAATGAAGCCAATTTAGATTTAAACTGACTGTGATCAAAAATGGTGTTCCATTTTCTGAATTCCTACAGTAAGGCCTATCTAATTGTATCATTTAATTCATAAAATGCCCTTGTTTTTCTGTATACATTTACATGTGTACACACACATGCGTGCACACACATGCAAAGATTCCCTGGACTTATTCCTCTGGTACTTTATCCCCTTTGATGATTATACGCATATGTATTTGTTAAAACAATGATTAGCTAAATAGCCCAAAGAATAAGTTCTATTATACAGTTATAAAATTTTAAATATTGATAGCAAGATCTTTCAACTGAGATCTGTGTTCAAAATTTAAGAAAAGCTCATAATTTGATTTTGAGGTTACACCTACAAATCCCATTGCATTCATAATTTTCATGCTTATATTTGCATAAAATTATAGATGCAGATGAGATGATTACATCGGATTTTTTAATGCTCAACAAAAACTGATGAATGCACAGTGGCAAATTTCCACAGCACAATAGCAATATATTTTTCCCTAATCCCTATTAACATAGCATTCTTTTAGTATAGTAATTTCTAAGTGTATGTAAAAGACTTCCATCTTTGCCAATATTCCCATATTTTCAGGTTTTTTTCAGCATGTCTATAAAATATTCCATGTCTTGCATCACTGAAACTTTAGTTTCCAGCAGTAAACCAAACAGAGGAATTAAGAGATGTAATTAATTTGAATGTATCCTAAGAGCTCTAAAAATACAAAGGTGAATCTGTTCTTTGCTGCTTATAGTTGAAACTGTCACACATTAAAATCTTCAACATCCTTAATAACTAGCTGGTTATTAAGCAACAGAGAAAAAGTTTACACAACTAGTGTGTAAAGGAGGAAAAACAGCCTTCCTCTAGTTTTCCATGGGGAACAAAAGTGCCAAAGAGCACATATTTTCTATTTTTGAAGTATATAAATATATGCATTTTCATTATTAAATTTTTCTTCAATGTTTTTGCCAAAATCAAGGTAAATGTGGTCTCTTTAGATACCAGATTTTGCTAAGCTAGATGAATTACTGATTTTTTCTTTCATAATTTTTAAGGTATTATTGATATACACTCTTATGAAGGTTTCACATGAAAAAAACAATGTGGTTACTACATTCACCCATATTATCAAGTCCCCACCCATACCCCATTGCAGTCACTGTCCATCAGTGCAGCAAGATGCCACACATTCACTACTTGCCTTCTCTGTGTGTGCTACACTGTTCTCCCCATGACCCCTCATACCATGTGTACTAAACATAATACCCCTCAATCCCCATCATGAATTAACTGATTCTTAAGAAATTATTTGTGGAGTAATCAATGAATCAGTCTCTAGATTAAGTTTCCAATCTGATATTGGCTGAGGACTTACATAGACTCAAGCCACTCAGTGGTCATTGTTACTTGGCCTATCTGAGACATTAAGGATGGGAAACTCACTTCATTCAAAGAGCCAGGTCCCATCACGCCCAGAAAA